GGCAGAAAGGTGAGAACTTCAGGGCCCATCCACACAATGGAATACTACTTGGCCAGCAAGAGAAATGAAGCCTTCACGCATGCCCTACCAGGATGAACCTGGAAAACATCACGCTGAGCAAACCTTGTACGATCACAGTTCAAAATAGGCAAATATGTCAAAGGAGCCCAGGTGGTGTACTGGGCTGACAGGTTGGGTTGCTAACCACAAGGTCAGCAGTTTAAAACCACCAGCTGCTCCGTGGGAGAAAGATGAGGCTTTCTGCTCCCATAAAGATTTACAGTCTTGGAAAGCCCCAGGGGCAGTTCTGCTCTGTCTTAGATGGTCGCTAGGGGTCAGAATTGACCCCATAGCAGGAAGTTATAGAAACCAAGGATGGTTAGTGGCTTTCAGGGGCGGGAGCGGGGCTAGAGGGAGAGTCGTTGCTGATAGAAGGAGGGTGAGTTTACATTCATGGCGGGAGAACAATCGGGCAAAAACAGTAAAGTACAACCGATACCCCAGAATCGTTCGTCAGACTATTGAACACACCACAATGCAAACAAAAATCAGCCCCCACAGACGTCTCAGTAAAGTGCTGGCCACACAGTTGTGGGGCAGGCAGCGGGACCAACAGGTCGCAAAGGAGAGAAAACCCAACTTCAGCTAGAGAAGGTGTCTGAATAGCAGCCATGGCTTTCCAAGACGTTTTCACCCACATCAAGGCAGGGGACCTGGGCCGGAAGGCTTCCCCTCTGAGCCTCTGGAGGGCTGAACTCGATGTATGTCCCCAAAGAGCCCCAAACCAAATGCCACGGAGTTGCATCTGACTCAGGGAGCCCCAGGTGTGTAAATCCACTGGGGTGTGGGGGTCAGTCATCTTTAGGGAAGTAGATTGCCAGGACTTTCTTCCACTGCACCTTTCTCTCACTCGCTGCCATCGAGTTGATGCAAACTTAGTGACCCACCCTATAGGATAGGGAGAGCTGTCCCAGCGAGTTCCTGAGAGACTGTGCTCTTCACAGGAGTGGAAAGCCTTGCCACAGAGCGGCTGGTGGTTTCAAACTCCTGACCTTTGGGATCGCAGCCAAACTTGTAACCACTATGCCACGAGGGCTCCTTATAGCAGCACTGGGTGGGTTTAAGCTGCCAACCTTTAGGTCAGCCAGTAGTTGAACAGAAAGCATTTATAGCAGGTAGGGACCTCTGAAGCCACACAATCTTCTTCTTATCAGAACAAAGAAAACCCTCTGAACTGGGGGAGGGCACACTGAATTTATACAGCCAGAAAAAAAAAAATGTAACAGAATGAGGTCAGAGCTGCTGAAAACCACCGGTAGGGCAGCATGAAACTTCTCAGTCCAAGAGACAGACAGACTGCCACAGGGGTTTGGGATCGCAACTCTTCTAAAACATCGATTTGGAGGCGCATTAAAACCACTGGCTACTGTCTAGGGGACACTTGATAAAAACAAAACTAACTCACTGCCCTCCAGTTGATTTGACTCCGAATAATCCTTTAGGACCAAGGAGAACTGCCCCTGTGGGTTTCCGAGCCTGTGAATCTTTGTAAGAGCAGAAAGCCTCATCTTTCTCCTGTGGAGTGACTGGTGGTTTTGAACCACTAACCCTGCAGCCCAACATGGAACCCATTGCACCAGCAGGCCTCCTTGAACCACACCGGGGATATAGTTAATGTTGCTGAACTGTCCATGTCAAGATTGCCGAAATGGCAACTGTTTAGTTGTCCATCTATCGCCCATAATTCAAAACAAAATACAACACTGACCAACAGTTATAAGACGTGTCCCCCAAGTCCTCCCTCTCTGATGACTGGGCACCTTTGGTTTTTGTGTTGTTGGGTTGTTGTTGCTTTTTCAATCACGGGATCTTTCAGTCAGCCCATTCACTTTCAGCAACTGGGGCGGGACTTTTATTGCTTCTCTCAATGGATTTTCACACAGCCACAAGAGTGTCCAGCCGGGCCACAAGCGAATTCGGAACATGTTGAGTCGCACCAAAGAGAAACCTTGTGCCCATCAGCAATTAAGAAATTGATGCTTAAGATCAAACACTGTACTGCTCAATTCATGAGTTACCTTTGAAAAAATAGTGAGCGATCCCTCCTTCCTCTCTTTTGTAGGAAATGCTGAATTTCAGCCAACTCTGCTTTTTGCGTATCTACAATTGTCTGGAGTCAAGAGACTGGACATACCAATGCACATACCCACACCCCCAGGGGAGTAAAAAAAAAAGTTCACAGAAAAACAGAACGGATAAATAATGGAAAATTCCCACAAACAGTTGAAGCCTCCTTGTTTGAACCTGTTTATGTATGTGTCTGTGTGTGGGTGTGGACAGGGGATGTGGACAGTATGATCTGTGAGTCCCAGCCCGCCAGGGGACGACCTTGTTTTCCACATCCGAAAGCTTCCTGCGGGGCTTCGGTCTCACATAGGTTCCATGTTTGTGGGCTTACGGTACACGCTGTCAGGTGGTGTCTTCTGACCCCTCGTGTGCAGAGTAGACCCCTAGGGGTTTACCTTTCAGAAGCAGATCACCAGGCCTCTCTTTGGCCACGCCTCCAGGTGGGCTTGACCTGGCCATCTTTGGGCTAGTAACCACCTGTATGTACCTACGTTACATATTTTGCAGTAAGCAGCCTAGGCGGTGCTCTGGGTTGGGCTGGCGGTTCAAAACCCACCGGTTGCTCCGATGGAGAAAGAGGAGGCTGTGTGTTCCTATAAAAATCCAGAGTCTCGGACCCCTAGATAGGATTTGCCGTGCGGCGGGATCAAACCCATGGCAGTGAGTATGTGTACACATATACATAAGCGTTTATGAAAAAAAAAAAAAGCTTGTCACTGCTAGTCATGTTGGGCTCCACCTCTTCCTGCAATCAAAGCCTTCCACAGGCTACAAAGGATTTCCCTTATAAGGTAAAAGAGGCTCTCTAGATACATGTGGCAAAGGAACAGGAAGATGTCGGTTAATCACACAAAAATCTAAATGAAACCAGCTGTTGGGCGGCCGCCCCAGAAGCCTGCCTCAAAGAGACTCCCCTGAGCCCCCCCACCCCAGGCTTGGTTCCTCTGCCCAGAGGCCTTCTCCAGCTCCAGTCTCCTGCCCACGGGAAACATGCTTTGTAGAAGGAAGTTTTAAAGAGCCCTAAACTTTCCAAACATATCTTCCCTCCCAATTGGCCTGTCCTGTTACTGAGTCTTGGCACACCACAGAAGGCCATTTTTAAAGCAGAACTAATTGTCCTCCAGCGACACGACTTGGGACGAGATCAGACAAGAGGTTACCAGCGAGGGGCCAAAGTAGCTACTGTGCGGGGAGCACTGCGTTCCTCTCCTGGCGCAGGCAGCCCCGTCGGATTCAGCGCCGAGCACTGTGAGTGGGGGGACGGCTCTGGCCTAGCTGGTTCTCCCCAAGATCTTGCCTACGGACCCCGCAACTCCTTTTCCCTTTCAGGATTCCTCCCCAGCACGCCCCCCACCCCGCAAACCCATGCCGGAGTCTT